GCTTTAAGAGTCCCTACAGCTGAGAATTACTCCAATAAACTAGTTTTGCTAGGACAACTTATTCTGCTCAGAGAGCATCAGAGTAGGCTATCATGGCAGAAGTGAATTTTGCCAAATTATTAGTGTCTGCACACTGTCAGAACAGGGCACAGTACAGGACATTTTCTCAAGTCTTTGAAGTACAGCTTCTGTTAGAGTTGTTTCTTCTGTCCCTCTTTTAGAAGCACAAAACATCCTTATGAAGATAGTTCACTGCAGAATGTGTTGATCCTGTTTAGTTTGGTTCACACCTGTCATGATCCTCAATAATGTACTTGTGTCTGTTCCACTGGTGAAATTCATAATTTCCCTAGTGAATCACTTCCAAAGTAGAGCTGATAAACAAATAAATACAAAATACATAAGGAATACAGACACAACATCACAAAGAGTTCTGATTGTAGGCTACACTGGAATGCTGTTTTCTGATGATATTTATATTCTGACTTCACAATGATTCATTATTGTTGCTATAGCATTGCCCCCTCTTTCTACCCACTTCCTCTTTGTGGGAAGGGCAGGAGCAGCAAACTGCACACATTCAAAAAGGAAATGAAACCTCTCAGAAAAGAGAGAGATTTTGCAGAACGATAGAGAGACCCAACCTCGTGAGATAAAATTAACTTGAAATCTATATGTCTGTCCTAGTCTTCCTACATACACACCGTATGAGGCACTCCAGGCTTCATTCACGAGGGATTAGGTTTGATGAACTGTTTCTCATAGTCTCTCATGGCACCAAGTGCACCAGGAAATGAAAACTAAAGTTTAAATTGATGCAACCTGTGAATGTCAGGACATATAGAATTAAAACACAGAATGTCCAACTGTATATCACCAGGCAGAGAGAGATAAATGTGGGTAATGATCCAGGAAAAACGCTTACAGTGGTTGGTGGCACTGAAGCAGTTTACAACAGAAAAGATGAAATGAGCCAATATTGGCCTGAAATAGGGAGCTGGATTCTCTGAGGCTGAGTGTTGTGTGTGTGACATGCCAGGATGTGGGTGATATGAGTCCCCTGGGCTGTGCACCCTGGCTGTTATGGGGAATGGGATGTGATGCGTCTGGGGGACTTGGGCAAAGTGAGAGGGTCTGGATGGGAACACTGCACAGCCTCATAGCAGAGGGATGGCTGTTGGAGGAGAAAGGTGTTTTAATTCAGCTTTTCTAGATTTTTCAGGGGCTGATAGATCAAGGTATTGAGGAAAGGAAAGAGAGGAACCAGATTTTTTTGGGGAGGGAATTGATTAGTTATAAAAAGTTGATGCCTGTTTCCTCTTGTTAGGTTTCAATATAATAATTTTACTGTTAGATTGAGACTACTTAACATTTTTTACTGTTTGCCCTCTGTTGGAGGATTCTGCTTTAGGAGAATTTCCTGTTGGACCTCAATCCTTCTTATCAAACTGGCTATTGATAAGAATTATAGCTGCTTGCTTTTCTCCATTTATACCCAGTACTTACTTCAGGAAATCATGAAGGATGATTATATTATACTATCAATGCTATTTCACTTTTCAATCTTTCTTTTGTATGAGTTTGTCCTTTTGGAATGTCCACACCATATAAACTGAACACACAGGTGGGTTTTATAATGTTTTGCACTAACAGACTGCCTAATAGAGAATTTGCTGCCAAAACAAAATCTGAAAATTTGTTTTGCATAGGACGTATGTTTAGAAAACTTTTAGTGACTCTACTTGGAGTATAAATTCCTTCCAACTTGAAAGAAAATTGAAGCTACAAGGAATGTACTTAGTTCAGCTGAATATTAGGAAAGATAAAACCAGTTTATAGTGGTCAATGAATCGTGGGACACAGGCAAAGCAGTACCATACTGATTTCAAAATAGGAACGGAAACTTTTACTAAGAAGTCTGCCTTCATTGCTGGGCTGCTAACGTTAGGATTTGTCAGCATTTCTATCAATGGTAATATTACAATGCCATGTCTGCAGATGTGTCTAACAAATCCATCAAAACACTTTCTAGTACCTTAAAAACATTCAATTTTTCCAACTCAGAATGATCTAATTCCCACTTGATTAACTATAATTTCAATTGCTACTTAAAACAACTCTTTCAAGAGATGCCACCCAACTTGTAAAATAAAATTCAGTGAATTTGATCAGCATTCTCTCATACTATAAAATTATCAGCATTTTTTTCCTGAGATTGCTTCCTGTTTTTATTTCTTCATCACAAGAAGCAATTTTGTATTTTCAAATAGTCTCCAAGTGTCAGCCACTGCTTTTATTTCCTCCTTTATACAATTTCATAATTTCATTCTGTATTTGCTTCCCAATCTGCAATGTAACTTCTCGCTCCTTCACTGTTCTGCTCTATGAGTCAGATTGGTACTGTCATTGTTCACTAAGTCATTTACCTGTGATGTATTTGACTGTTGGTTTCTCTTCTATTTCTCATTTTTGAGTTGTGTCTTTCAAACTGTCAGGACCGAAGCTTTTTGTGAAAGACTTACGAAAGAACTCAGACATGAAAATGCTGCGTAACAGAATGTGCTTTATAGCCTAAAATCAGGTCTGGTGCACAAAAGGTAACAATAATTTGTAGAACAGGCTGCAAAGATGTTCCTGGAAACCATGAGTCAAAAAGTCTGTCTTCCATAGGGGCACATTAGGAAAGTGTAAACAAGAATATATTAAGTCAGGACATTTAAAAAGGTGATGCAGCTTTTGCAGAGGGAAGTCACACCTCACAAAAATTACAGTGTACCTGGACTTTCAAAAAGCTTTTACACAAATGTCTTCATCAAAGCCTCTAAAGAAATAAAGCAATGAAACTAATGGAATGAAAAGTGGAGTTCTACTATTGATAATGAACTGTTTAAAAAGAACAACAGAAAAGTCTGGTTATCACTAGTCAGTTTTCAAAATGAAAGCAGATTAACAGCAAAGTCTCTGAGGCTCTTTGCTGACAACTGCAAATTTTAACAGTCCAAAAGCCTAAAGCCATGCAGGGTGTGAGCCTTAACTGCATTTTTCTTTCCAGGGCATTTGCTTTTTGCTGCGGGAGATGCATGCCAGTCCCTAACACTGTTCACCCTGTGCCAGAGGATCCTCCCCTTTCCATCTCTGCCCAGCCTGCAGCTGCTTCTCTTCTTCAAGGAACAGGGTGGGCCAGGGTTGTGGCAGCCCCTCACTGCCCTCCCCGCCGCTGCTTTGGGCAGATCCCCCAAGGCTGCAGGAAAATTCCTCTTGTCCATTGGTCTTTACACGTCTGTCCACAGGGTGGAGGTCATGACTTGCATATAAGCCAGCCTGCACAGAAAATAAGCATCAAAACTAGGATTATAGGGGCATCAGGTCATGAACCAGAACGGGAAGGTGAAAAGCAAGAGGAAATATTTGTGTGCCAAGAAGAACAACAGCAAAAAGATCTTGTCATGAAGAACGTTTTGCCTTTGTCTCTTGTTATGTGACACCCCCACAGAGCTGCAGTCCAGCTCTCTCTAGCACAGAAATTTAATGAGGAGGCTGGAACCTCCTGTAGGACCCCTTGATGCTGCATTTTGATTGTGGGTCAGGCAAAAGTGCAGTGACCCTTGGGAGCCCACGTTTGGAGCTGTTATTAGCAGGGATTGTGCTGGAGGGGTGAAGCCAAGGGCTGTCCCTTAGCGGTGTGAGGACCATTAGAAAGGAGTCTGTGTTGATAGCAGATCTTCAGTGAAGAGGAAAATAGTTCAGCACTGATGGAAAGATGGTCTTTTCGCAATGCATTTGTCTTGTCTTCCAAGCACAAGTGTATCACATTAAATACAATTCCCTTTATTTCCAAGAGCCTTATATCTTTATTTCATAATCAGCGTCTTGTAGTTAGAAAGAGAAAATAACAAATAATGTCTCATGTCCAGCATGATTTTTCTGTCCTCTCAGCAAGATTGTTTTGGTTTAGTTGGTCAGTTATGTAATCCCTTATTAATCCTAATAAAACAGCAGCAAAGATTTCTCATGAATGTTACTCCAATTTACTCAATGATGTTCTGAACATGTTTTTTATTCTTTACTAGTATCTTATTAAAGCAAGGTTGTCTTATCAACAGCTTTAACTGAAGCAAAATTACTGTTTTCAGGCTTGAGGATGGGAAGGATATGAGAGAAGACTGAAGCAGCTCTGGCCTGAGAAATCCCATTACAGGAATGAGAGCAGAGGAGATTTCTGATAAGACTCACATTCAGACTTGAGCAGTGGAGTGGGACACAAAGAAATAGGAAAAATTCAGCAATGCTGATTTTAAAAGAGGTTGATAATGGGTGACAGACACCAGAGTCAGATGCAGAACATCTTTAATGCCTACTGGGGATCCTCATGAGGGTCTGCTGATCCTGTTGAGGGCCGGTGTGTGCCCCCAGCCTAGGCTACAGTGGGTGCTGAGTGCTGGGTGATGCACCACCTGCACTTACAGCAGGAGCCAGGTGAGCCTCAGAAAAATTTCAGCTTGTGTTACAAAGATTTGGTGAGGATGGACCCCTAAAACGTAAGAGCCATCCCCAGGACAGACCCCTGCTGCAGAACAGCACCTGAGAGAAGAAAGCAGGTGTGGTAACTCCAAAGCCTGGAAGCAATCCATGGCACAAAGAGAGAAAGAGTGAACCTAGCAACCCAACCAAAATTCAGATCTCCACTAAACTCTCTTTTCTTTCCCATGCATTTTCTTCTGCTTTTTTTTTTTTTTATTTATTTTTTTTTATTTTTTTTTTATTTGTTTCATTCTGATTCTGCAGGAAATAGTGGCATGCGTTCCTTCCCCTTGCAGCTGGGACAAGGTCAAGCACAAGTGGGTTGCAACTGGGGAGAGTGTCCTCTCTTTTTTGCAGAGCTGAGCTGTACCACAGGGATTTGCTGCCAGTTTGCTGGTCTTGCACGTGATGAAATTCCTGACGTGGTTTATATTTCCTATAGGTTTATTTTTTTTCAACTGTTTTGTTTTGTCTTCCAGGGTTTGGTATGACCACCCCAGCCACCGTTGGAGGCAAAATTTTTCTGATATTTTATGGCCTTATAGGATGTGCAGGGACCATTTTGTTCTTTAACCTGTTCCTGGAACGCTTGATCACAGTCATAGCTTATGTCATGAAGTCCTGCCACGAAAGACAGCTGAGGAGGAAAGGCGTTCTCCCTCACAACAGCCGGCGGGGCTCAGGGACATCTGAGGTGGACAGCCTGGCAGGCTGGAAGCCCTCTGTGTACTACGTCATGCTGATTTTATGTGTAGCATCACTCATCATTTCCTGCTGTGCCTCTGCAATGTACACACCGATTGAAGAGTGGAGTTACTTTGACTCACTTTACTTCTGCTTCGTGGCCTTCAGCACCATAGGTTTTGGTGACCTGGTCAGTAGCCAGAACATCAAGTATGAAAGCCAAGGCCTTTACCGCTTTGGCAATTTTGTCTTCATACTCATGGGGGTGTGCTGCATCTATTCGTTATTCAATGTGATCTCTATTGTGATCAAACAATCCATAAACTGGATATTAAAGAAGTTGTCCTGCAAGTGCTGCCACAGATGCCAAAGAAGATTATTTCGTTCACGGAGGAACGTGGTAATGCCTGGAAATGTGCGCAGCCAGAGAAACATCTCCATCGAGACCGATGTTGTCAATGAGAGTGACACAGATGGACGCCGTCTGTCAGGAGAGATGATCTCCATGAAAGATTTCCTGGCTTCAAATAAAGTCTCATTGGCCATCATGCAGAAACAGCTGTCAGAAACTGCTAATGGGTATCCAAGGCAAATGAGCTGTAATTCAAAGCAAAATGGATTCTCTGGTGGGGTTGGAGCCCTGGCAATTATGAATAACAGATTGGCAGAGACCAGTGTGGATAGGTAAAATAATAACAGTAATAACAGTGAAACAATGTGAACCATTTCAGCAAGTATTGAAACAATGTGAATCAAGTGGAAATAGCTAGGGAGAGTGCACCAGAGGCTGGGATGGATGTGAAGGGCATACTCCTGACAGAAGATCTCTGACACTTTTTGGGGGCTGTCTCTTAATGTTTTTGAATTGCACCAATCCCAATCTTTTTTATTTCCCATCCTTCTACTTCTCAAGAAGGTCACTGCAGAAGGAATTTAATTTAGCCTTCAGATCAAATTTCCATTCCTATTCTTTTCCATTTATGTGAGACACAGATTTCAGGATAAGAAATATGTGTGATGGAGAGAAACCAAGTGTGTCTACTGAACACATTCTTAATTCAAAGGTTTTTTTTTTGAGCTTTCTGTCTTATTCTCATCATACCTGTTTCCTGAAAGTAGTTTATCTGAGACCAAAAGAGGAATCAGCCTTTTTCTGTGATATTGCAGACCTAATTTAATGAAAAATAGTATTAAAGTTGGTAGGTATATTCTGGAGCTATTGTGATGTGAATGAGGAGAGAACTTTGCCCTTAGAATTTAATTTAGTCTTTCCTTTAAGAGGATACTCTCAAAAGTGATAGAATAAAAATTTATCCTACTTTTGTTTTCTTCTCTTCATTTGCGAAACATGATTTTTTTCTTTTTATTTTTTTTTCTGTGGTTTGTTTTTTTTTTTTTTGAGGCTACTTTTTCTTCTAGAATCACTGGCTTTCTTTTTCAAAAATATCAAATTAAATTAAAAACTGATGTATTTATGAGTGGTATGAATTATTCGACAGTAGCAATCAAAGACTTTTCAAATTTCTTCTCATATTTGGCTCAATTGTGACAATTGAGTATCAGCATTGTGCAGTGCAACTAGTAACTGAGTTTACACAACAGGCTTTAGTATGCAATTACATTGTCATGCCAGCATCCAGGTATTATTATAAATGACTGTGATCACAGAATAATTTTGGCAGTGTCCTTTTTGTCTTTCACGTAATTCTGTCATTCTTCACCTGTTTCTCTGACTTCTGGTGATGATAATGGCAGGGTCTTGATTAGGGAAGTAGAAAATGTTTAACTCCTCATTTTTCTCAATGAAATGTTCTGAGTGTTCATTGTGAGTAGAAAGGAAATTTCAATGACAAGAATAATAACAGTGAAAAGAACATGAAAACAGGAAAAGAGGTGATCTTTAATGACAGTGAAATCACCCTTTTCATTAGGTAACTGGAGAAATAAGTGATCAAATTAACATAAAGTCTAGCAAGAGTTTAAGGAAGACTGGGCTGAATTCCTGTTTCTCCTTTAACCACACAATGCATTAAAGCTAAATAGTATATGAGAGTGTAAATAAGTAGAATTGGTCACAAAGGACTGGAAAAGAATAGTACATGCATCAGGACTAAATGTTGCCTCACAGCCAGAAAGCCTTCCAGAATACTACAATTTTAGGAAATTTAAAACACCATTATGTAGTTCTCATTTTCTCTTGTACAGAGCAATGCAAGTAGCCTCTTCAGTTTAATTTGTATTGGGAATTAATATCATATCCTATTTCTTCATTCTGGCCAAAAGTTCTTTTATTTAGGTTTCTAATATTGTAGAATAACATTTTGATACTCATTTAAAGCAATATTTGAATTTGAAAACAAAAGCTTGGAATTCTTTCATATAATAAACTAACCCCAGATAGTCAACAAATGTACTTAACTAGTGAAAAGAATTGCAGTCTCTTTTGACTTTATTAGAGGTAAAATCCTGATTTAAATTCAAATCCTGCTGACCTTAGTTACAAAGAAAACTTACAGCTGAAGTCATTAGTCCAAATTCTGATACCTATCAACTCAGCTGTGCAGCAGTGGAATAGCCATAGCAGTATCCCTTCATATTTGCATCCACGTATCATCTGAACCAGTTCCCAAACCCTAACTTTGCTGAGAAAAGCGGTCCTATTTGGTTTTGTGGGGTTCTGTATTAGCAAATTTGCCACAGAGTTAATTTAGATGATATTATAATACCCGAGATCCATTACATTGTTATACTTTTTTATTTTTTTTATCCCAAGACGTTCTTTGTCTCAACCTCACTGAATAAAAATACTTGGATATAAAAAGAGAAAAGTACTACTCTGAAGCCTTCTTTTCAAATTCTTTCAGCAATGCCTCTGTTCACAGCCTATAACCCTAAGATCTCATTGTTACTGATGTATTTCTCATGCTGCCAACTAGCAGAAATAGTTTAGGACTATTAAGATGCCTCCAGATGGTTTCAACTGCTCTCAAGACATCAGACAGTTATGTTGTTCTGTTTCATTGTTTGTGGTACTAAGCCTTGGTTATTCATCACCACAGAGGGATCCTATCAGCTGTTTTCAACAGATCTGAAAACATCTATGGTTGCAAAAGCAAGGGACTTATAAATAGTCAATATTTATTTATATTTATATAAATATAAATAAATATATAATATTTCTAAATAATCAATATTAAATAATAAATATATCAAGGAGATTTGGCAAGGCTGTCTGAGATCACTGGTGTACACTAACTCTGCTTTCATTGAATCCTGACCTTCTGCTCTCTCAAGCACTGCCTTCTTTATGACACGAGCCTGCCAGTTGCAAGGCTCTCTGCACTGTTTTTGTTGTTGAATTTCCTGTCCACTGAGGATAATGAGGGAATAACTGCACTGAACGCCTCTATTCAGATGTGAATTGCTGTTCCAGAGATAAAGGATTGGCATATTCTGTCCCTGTGCCATCTTGTATAGTGATGTCATCCTGTACCTAAAACACCTCTGATTTTGCCATTGAGTTCGTCTTACAGCAGCCACGCTACACAATGAATGAGGTGGCTTTACCAAGGAGACTAATATTCTTAGAGAATATTTGGGGATAAATAATAAGACTTTTAAGATCAGAGGGGGAAATTTCCAACTCCGGTCCCATGGTGCTACTACAGTTGTTTTTTCTAAAGGCGTTGGACAGAGAAATCCCAAAATGCTCTGTGCATAATGTAGCATCAAGTTATGAAATTCATAAAACATGTGGAGATATAAACTTAAATGTGTCAAAAAAGAGCAGAATTTAGCTTAGGAGTGACAAATGCCCATCCTGTGTGAAAAATAAGTTATAGTAAAAATACAGAATACATTGCATTTCTTGCATTACTCTTAAAAGTAGCAATGAGGAATTAAAGGCAATAGTCAGAGATCTTATTTCAAAGCTGCATACATTTTAATTGTTTAACACTAAAATCTCAGTCAACAAGAGAAACCTGCTTTCAAAAGTAACGAGTATCCTTATTGCCTGCTATGGATTTGCATGATGGCTAATGAGATAGGGGTGTGGGTTTTTAAGCCAAAAATGCTTTGGTGGAAACCTTGGATGGATTGAGCCTCTGAATCTGCACTTAAGAGGTCTGCACTTGAAGAGTACCACTAAAATCAGTGGATTAAACTGCAGGTTGCAGCCTGGCAGACCGAAACTGAAAGTCCTTAAAGGAGTAATCTACCAGAAGTTAGCCTTAGTTATGTCACAACTTAATAATATCATTATTGAACAATATCATTATTACACATTGAAAGGAAGTATTTACTGCTAACCAAAATACAATTAAGTAAAGATAGCTCTTAGGTTTTGTAACATTTGTGCATCAGATGCTTTGCTGGGTATGTAGATGTCAAAGCAGGTACATTTATTTATCTCCCTGAAGGATATGGGTGTCTTTTTGCAAGGACATGAACAGACTTTTCGAAGGCATTTAATTCCTGCTGAAAGTCAATTCACTTCCCACCACACATTGACTTTCAGTAGAAGTCAGGTACCTAATTCCCTTAGGCAATTTCAGGATCCCAGCCATGTATTGGGTTTTGAATGTAAGCTGACCTGACAGTGTCCCTGAAAAGTTCAAACACTTGGAGCAAAGTTTCAGTGCTGCAGCACTCTAATAGCTGAATTCATTTATCTGAAAGCCTTTTATGGTGAAGGCTTTGCATCAAGCAAATAACACAAGCAGTGTTTACAGTTTGTTTGATTTAATCTTGGCCTCTGACAGTTTTAATTGTATTTGACACATTTATAAATTAAAGAACAGAGAGAAGGTAGGGCTGGGCATGCAAACTGAACCAGCTCCATTTCTCAGACTGAATTAATAAAGAGAAAGAGGTCAGCTTGGGAAAAAAGCTTCTTGATTAACATTATACTTGAATAAAGTTTCTCTGGAGATGAAGGGTATTAAGTTGTTTGGGTGACTTCTCTCCAACAATTGTGGAAGGGGAGCTGTTTGTGTGACCCACTGATGTCCCCACTCTGGGAACAGAAGCTCAGTGAGCCTTAGCTGAGAGAAGGGTCAGCATTTCAAGCAATACAATTGGCATCTCTTCTTGTTTTGATTTAGATTACTGACACTCAGCTAATATAGTAATTTCTTGGATTCTTCAAGAGGTAGTGATTTTGTCCAATTTTGTGTACAATCTGTGGAGAATCACCAAGTTTTTTCTTTGCTCTGGGTAGAAAATGCTGCCAAATACACAAGTACGATGTGTCTATTTGGGAATGTTCAGAGTAGTTTTTTGCTTAATCCAGGAAATAAGAATGCAATCTCTTCCCTGATCCATATTTTCCAAACGTCTACTAGCAATAAATGCCTACACAATACTCTGCTTATTGCTTAAAAGGTCACAATTCAGTAAGAAAATTAAAGCCATTGCTCATCAAGATGGACAAGAGAGTCTTATTTTTTATTAGATTTAAGAGAAACACAGTGTGAACACAGAGAATAGCACTTCAGGTCCAAGTAGTCAGAAGCTTTTTGAGATGACCTGTGCCTAAAGACCTGTTTCATGTCAAACCCTGTCACTGCAGACTTTTAAGAGCATTAGTAAATGTAAGAACAACCTTCTGGAATAGATGGCTTAAGTTGTATTTTGTTTTTCTACAGTTTCACTCTAATATTTGCCTGCAGTTTTTATTATTTGAAATTATTTGTGATAATAGAATAAATAATATAAATCTGCAAAGATTTTGAGAGGCACAATAGTGAGATATGGTTTAAATTAAACACTCTTTTCCTCAGGCTGCCTAGCTTTTTATAAAGGGGAACTTTGATGAAAGGCAGAATTAACTTTTTCCAAGCAAGGGTACAATTTCTAGGTTCAAATGGATTTCTTATTAGGTATACACACAGAAGCTCATAGAGAGGCAAGATGGCTGAATTTTCAAACATTATCTTTTGAAATGTCTTTCAAAGTGATTCCCCTTTAAAAGCCATAGAACATTGTCAGTTGTTTTGTTTTGGTTTGGTTTGGTTTTTTTTGTAGTCTTATCTGAAAAAACTTAACCTTGCTTTTTGATATATTTAGAAGAAAAAGATGCTCATGAAGAAAAATGAAAATAACCTTACATAACCTTTACACATACTGCTTGGAGCTGCTGAAATCCTCCTCTTTATCCTAACTTGAAGTTTACATCACAGTTTAATTTCTCCAGCTCACCAAAGAGTTTTGGTCTTGCTAGTGAATAGTCACAGCTCAAAACAAAGAACTTTAACAGACAGCAGTCTGTTCACAGTGTACTGAAAGTACATTTCTCACATGAAATACTGACCACCAC